GATTAATACTGAGGCGTGATGACTCCCTTCCTCAGCAGTGGAGAGAGATGGGACCTTTTCCCATACGATCACTTCCAACCGCCATGATAGCGTGCCCGCCGCAACAATGATTGGTATGAACCTTATGGACGGTACGAACGGTGCAAGCTATCGCTCCAGTCCATCCTCCTATGGCGACCCCAAATATGTCTCCTCAATTTCAGTGTTGGGCGTGGTGCCGCCTCCTTCCCGGGTTCTCGTTGACGGGTATAGAAGCGGGTTTGACTCCATTGAGGATGAGAGCCCGCGATATAATCCGGTATGTGCCACATATAAGTCATTTTTACTACGGTCTTACTGTGCAATTTGTCTAACTTATTTGAACCTTCGTCGTGGTTTGCGCCCTGCCATTTTAGCTCAATGTTGCTCATCCAAGAAGTTCGGTCCTTTTGAACGCAAATGATCCGGTTGTCATGCACCTTCTCACAGAGACCGCCATGGGGGATAGCATACATTTTGAGGTACTATCGTTTGAAGAGGCGGAGAATCTTAAGAAGGAGCTCTCGCTGCTCACGAACCGCATAAATTCCTCGAAGCGGAAATTAGCCTTGGAAATGAAGCTGCAGGAAGCAGCTCTATCTCTAAGTAGATTACCAGACAGCAAATCGCGGCGCGACAGTGGAGACTCGATTGGCGAGATGTCACCAAGATTGCCACGCAAACGGATGAATTTTTTCGGCCGGAATAGTTGGGGAGACCACCATCGTTCGGACAGCGAGCTTGGAATAAGCACACGGAAATGTGAAGAGTTGGCGCAAGAGCTTTGGAAACTCGAACGCAGGGCCGCTGAGCTGAGGAGGAGACTTTTAGAGCACACTGCCGGCGTGCTACAGATGACCCATAAAGGCCTTAAGAAAAAGCCGGCTTCCAGAAACAACTTTCCCCGAAATCAGAGTAGCATGCCCGGAAGTCCGGGTGCACGAGAGAATGATGTGCATTCTGGCCCGGCCCACGACTTTGACGATAGAAGCCTCTACCGGACCGCGGATCATCTTGATGAATACGGTAGGGCTTACGGCCCAGGGGGAATGCCACATTTGCTAAACGGAGAAACTAGATCATTTGATTTGACAGCCATACATAACACTGAGAGAAAGCTAGAGGAGATGAACAATAGTTTGCGCCAGATGCTCCTCGAGGCTAATATGGATGGGGATGTAGGGCCTGTTCCGACTTCCCTTTATAATGAACAATCTCTCAATCCCGTGGCTGGAGTGGAAGCGCAACTTGATTACCTTGAAAGGAATTTGAGTTCCATGGCAAACCTCCGACTCCAAGAGCCCACAGAGAAAACAAATGATGTACCGCAATTTGTCCACCACGCGGAGGAGAAATTGGAGGAGATGAACATGCGGCTTGCTAATATACTCAAGACATCTGGCTCTCGTTCTCCCCTTGCATCCTTTCCGACTGGCCCGAGAAGAACTCTGCAAGAACAACTTGACTATCTTGAGCCGAATATTGACAACATCCAGCAGCGGGTGGAAAGCTTGGCTGAACAAAAAACTATTCTCACAACTCAAATACAACAGCAAAGGGAACTTAATTCGAAATCCGATGCGGAGCGGGATGCCCATTTTGCAGAACTCAACGAACAGATATCTATCCTGAAAAAGGAGCTAGATATGTCACGAAAGGAAGCTGATGGCACCAGAGATGAGCTTACTCTGGTAATGGACCAGCTTGACGCTGCTCGCCAAGAATCGATGATTCGAGAACAGCAACGTACTGAAGAGGAAGCGGTTGCCTTGTCCAGCATGAAAGCAGCTAGAACGAAAGCCGAAGAGGAGTTGTCCGCCAAAGTTAACATGATCGCTCAGCTCGAAAATAAACTACAGAAATCGAGTGACGAGCAGGAATCGAGGACAAGGGAAGCCCTTGCGGCAAAGGAGTCCTCTGACAAGGAACTTCAGAAACTGCAGTCAGAATACAACGAACTCGAAAACGAAATGATTCGTGTCCGGACAGAGCTCACTATGGCACAGGCGGAGCTTGACAGTGCTTACGGTAGCCGTGCCGAACGCGCAGCTCAGGTGGCAGCGAATCCGGCGATTCAGAAAGAAATCGACGATCTCAACCAGCGCAATAGGAGCCTTACGGAAGAAATTTCTATTCTTCGAGCAGAGCAACTCAACAACAGCAATGACGGCGATGGCAAATCTGGACTCCAGGCAAGAGTTCAGATGCTGGAAAAGGAACTTAGAGATACGATTGACGATTATGAAGTTATGACAAAAGCAAGCATTGAGTTTGAGAAAGAGCGCGAAAAGCTCGAAACCTTTATTGACAACCTCCGCGACCGCTGTGAAAACCTCGAGTCAAAGCTCTGTGAGGAAAGAGTGCAAAACATGGGAAGTAGTAGTCCCAGCCACGCGAGCGGATTTGACAGGGGCGCTTCCGAGACAACCTCCATCATGGTGCTCAAAAATGAATTTAAGAAGATGATGCGCGATACCCGGGCTGAAAATATGCGACTTCTTAAGGTATGTTTACATGATTGTGATATCTGGACGCAATCTATTACGCTTAATGCAGTTCGCTAACGATGCTCCTCACTCGCTCACTCTAGGCTGAACAAGAAGAAAGACGGCGACTGGAAGTCCTGATTCGAAACCTCCGGAAAGAACAAAGCATTGGAAAGTCAAACTTGAGCCAGAGTACCATTTCATCCTGATATCTTGTTTTTATTTCTTTTGATATGCCACTTTTGTTTGATATTTCATTCTCAGTATGAACCCTTTTGAATCCGTTTCTTGATGGCTTTGCCCAAGCAGTATACCTATACGCATTTTGCAACCAGAGAGCTTCTTTGTGGCTCCTCCTGCCTTTTATTTTTCTTTCCTGCAATCTTACGATTTGTGTGATTGTTTTGGCTAGTGCAAACCCAGGGGCTGAAGCTACGGACGTACCCACCCTCCATTATTTCTTATTGATTTAGCGTGCTAAACGAATGAGTAATATTTCTGCTTGCTCCTGTGTATGTTTAATGTGTATCCCGCGGTGGTCGCGATTTCTTCCAAATACGGAGAAATGGTGGATGTGACAAGTGCCTTCCTTCCCGCCTTGGATTCGTAGTCCGTTGCTGAATTTTTCATTGCCTCCCCTTCAAATTGTGTTCTACACTGATGGCCGGTTCAGTCTCATATTTCCCGCTTGGATGAGGGCTGTCTATCGCTTAACTCCCCCCTTATATTTCGTCTTCACAAAGATGACCTCTTTGCCACACGGGTGGTATCCCGCCATGACCTACACAAATGACCTATGCAATCAAACCCGATCGCGCTCGCTTGAATTCGATAGGCCCGGACGGAGCAGGCTCCGCCGCGTTGTTTCAACGAAGGGTTTCAGTCAGCATATGGATTCCTCAGAATCTGTGCCCAGTGAGCACAGTTCTCTTTACGATGCAGTGTTAGCCAGCTTTGAATCAGATGATAGTCGGAGACAGCGTGAGCTGGATCGCCATTTAGATGAAGCTGGTCCGTCGAACTATGGGCCAACCAACTTCGTGGGGGAAAATATGGGCGCAATTAATCAACGCCTAGTTTACTCACATGGAAAATGGCCTGGCAAGAAACTGGAGACCATAGTTGAACAAAGGAGTGCATCTACACTTAGGGGTTCACTGGCGCCGTCTGTTGGTGATGTTGATGGACCTGGCAATAATAGGCCATTGACTACACAGGAGGCTTTAGTCAACCCGCTTGGTACATATGGTAGGAAGGTTTACTCCTTCGATGACCTTGATCTCCCAAATCGCCGTCCAAGGGATTGTGCCTCGCGTCTCCCCAGTCGATCGTCTTCTTCTGGAGCGAGCTTCGAGTTGCGCGGTTTGTTTCCTCATATATCTCCCGTCGAACCTATCCAACCGGTATACCCTCCACCTGTTCGATCCCCAACTCCGCCGGGTCTTCCGTCTTTTGGCTCACGGGAAGCAATCCACTATAATCCGACCCAGTCCAACCACTCCCGCCCTTCAAACCACCACGCTCCGCCATCACGCAGAGGGCTACAGCAAGGTTTAGTAGCAGCGGGTGATGAAGAAGACGATTTATGTTGTGCTTCTGGATTAAAGCGCCTATTTGGCTTACCGTCTTGCATGGGAGTTAGACCGCCTGCTCTTCCTACGGGTGCGGTCGCGAGGGCTCATGACGGTACAATGGTTCGAGGTCGGTTTGGCCCCCGGCAAAGTGGACATGGAGTCGGAGCAGGCCCAACGGCACGAGGACTGGAGAGCCACCCTTTCCACAGAAGCTCCTTACCAACTGCCAGAGTCAAAGATGCGTGCGATGCTGCGCCAAACTCGGTCGTTGCGAGCCAACAAATTACTCACGACGCTTCCACTCCGTCAGAGACTGGTTACTCCTCTCCACAGGTCATGCCGCTATCGTATTCCTCGCTTCTACGGGCACGCACTGCGCCGCACATAGTGCCGCCACGACGATCTTGCACCAATACCGGGAACTGTACACTCCTGAGTACTTCTTCTGTTCCTCTTCCATCATATGTTGCTCATCAAAGGCTTGAGTCTCCCCTGCCACGTCTTCCTGAAATGATACATGCTTCCAATAGCCCTAGCAGCTTAAATGTCCCTGGTCCTGAAGGAGGGGAGAATGATGGTACATCAGCTACGCTTACCCCAAGCCAACCCAATCGCCCGCCCATAGTTACAGAGCCGCGCCATAGGCAAAGGATTTCAATGCAAACTGCTATAATTGAGGATAACAAAGCTCCTGGCCTGTGGAATTGGCTTTTAATGGATTGCTTCTTTGTCTGCTGCGGATTATTCGGCGGCAAGGAGCCTCCACACATTCGAAGCCAACGGGGCAACTTTGGTATCGATGGGCAATGCTCTGCCCCGGATCAAACTGCGGCATCGGCAGCAGCAACGGATGGGCAAATTCGCGCCCCACTAAACCGTATTCACCACCGTGATCGCCATCGCGAAATATCTTCTCCCACCCCATGGACCCCTGCGTGGGGATGGCAGCCGCGATGCTTTGGTGGCGATGCTACATTGGATGAAGAAGCCGGTCTTGGTACCGCGATTGAGTTGCGGTTGATCCAATCGGCATGGGCTCAAGAAACTGCTCCTGTAAATTAGAATTGGGGATTGCTCTTCCTCTCCCAGCCAGTAGTATTAGTCCCCATCTTGCAATAGCTGTGGTTGTTTATGGCTTTACTTGCGGCTATTGTTATTGTGCAATTCTTGTCTGTTTGGGCTGGATTTGCCTTGAACCTGGCTGTCATTTCAGTCTGTTGTGGGAAGGAAGCTGGGATAGTTCTTGTCCCTTCTGACAAAGGGGATGGTGATGTTGAAGGACAAGGATTTGGCTTATCATTTGTGAACCCCAACTGGCTACACTCTGAACTTGTTTACAACTGACGAGCTTTTCGCGCCACTTGTTATCAGACAAGGAAATGAATCATGATATTACTTATATGCTTACCTACTGCCTCTTCTTCGGTCTATATTTCGTCTCACACTTGTTCGCTTGGTAACTCCCAATTGAGTGGTGACAGGGTGCAAATAAGAACGGACAGAACTTTGTGCAACAAGGGAATAATAATAAAAACATTAGGTATAAACCATGAACTCAATCATCTGAATGGGGACATGCATCTTAATATATTCAGAAAAACCTGATGTATTTGCTACAGGACATGCTTTCAGTCGAGAATTGCTGAGCCGGCCCGCCAGATCTTCAATCTCGACCAGCAGACGTTAGTGTTCGACTCATTCAATACGCCGGAGACAGCGTCCACGGGGTGCAACGTTGGAACGATTGTTGAGGGACACGGTCAGAGTTGAGTGTGGCTCAGGCAAAGCTGTTTCGAATCCCCGCCCACTACATCTCATCATGTTCTGTACATACAAGCGGAGGATAACCGCGCGTTGACGCTTCCCATCTTTCCATTGGCAGACATGGACTAGAAAATTCTCTTGTTCCAGCAACCCTTCAAGGGTGGGCCATGAACCCGAAGACATTTCACTTATAGATAAAGGCCTGGAAGCCAATAGATTTGCCAGCACTATATCAGACTTTAATAACTTCAATCTCGACATCGCTGATACCGTACCATCCTACTGCTTCTGCCAACCAATTCAGACCTCTCTGCTTACTGTCAGGATCACCTTTCTGGTGTAAGAGACACGCCGTCGGGAACTCCAATTACTATCCTTGTATGCGAAGTCGTGCCTCTCAATAATACGACACAGCGTACTCCGTTGGACAATGCCCTATCTAAAGCCCTTGGCTATGCCAGACATCCATATGGCTGACTCTACACAACGACGTCAATCTTTCGGCATCGGTAAAAGCTAGATAATAAAGGAAATTGTGGCTGGCATGGGTTTGATCTGCCACAAGAACGACTTCAGCATCACGGCACCAACCGGAGCAGCAGCCGACGCTATGGGGGGGATACTTACCTTACTTCCCTTGGAATTTCCCTTAACCGATGTATGCGAAGAAGAATAGGGCCCAGAATCCGCAGACTGTTGGTCGCGGAAGACCATAATGGTCATATACGAGGTGAGCATGATAGACCTTTCCGGCTCAGCACCACCATCAATACCCTCTGTAAAACAGTCCGATTGCTTGAACGGGCTTCTCCCGGTTTGTTTTCGGCGCCTGCCAGCAATGGCTCTCGCGCAATTTCTACCAATTCCGCCTGTTCAAAGTCAACCGGTTTAGAGGCCCTTGAGGATTGAGACAAACTAGGACGGAAAGCTCTTGTGCGACAAATTCAAACAAGCAATTCTGCTGGATGAGGAAATGCGACAAACGGAGGATGTAACCTCCTCAAGTGTGCAAGAAGAGATTCATTTAACCTACAATGACGTGCTCACCGTAAATTTAAAAGCAATCACATTTCTTGCAGCTCCCCAGCTGAAAAACAAATAGTCATTGACAAACGCAGCAGCCTCCTCCTACATGTTATAAACTAGATCTGGATGAAACGTTTCGCGTGATCCAGAACCCAAAAAAAAAAAAAAAAAAAAAAAAAAAAAAAAAAAAAATCTTCCCTGCTCTCCAGTATTGCACCACATCCCCTAGGACCGACAGATCACGATCCCGTGCAAATAACCTGCTTGGGGAAACGAAGAAGGGAGCAAACCAAGATCCTATTCCTATTCCTGTGACTCCTCCTGTACTCCTATAGTGTCGCCTTCAACGAAATCCATAATGAAGTAACATTGGCATCCGAATAATGTGTCTTGTGTCTTGGTATTGAGAATTTGATAAACTTTAGGGACAGGTATTGATGTTTTTGCTTCAACTAACTTCGTGATCTCTGCTTCACATGGCCGTACAAACTCCCCTCCTTTGAGAACCAATGTGCGGGAGAGACGCGCAATGTGTGTTCCCTGGTAATCATGCAGCAATGGCGCAAGTTTTGAAGAGTTCGATCAGAGCTTCATTGGAGACTTTGGGTATATCGTAGCCGTCGAGGGGAAACTTGGTCAGCGGCTTGTCTGGTCGCAAGCTCGCAGCGCATTTTCTATCAGAGAAGGCTTCGGATTAACTATGGCGGAACATTTTGTCTTACATCGAAAATCGGGTGTACCAAGGCGTACAGCTTTCGTCATCCGGCAGTGATCTTGTGTGAATCAACTATTACTATTCTGTCATTGAAGGTTGACCTCGCTTTGACAGACGGTCAGTGGTTTGAATTCAGTGGTTTGAATCGAATGGGCCCGAGCTTGCACCGGAAGTTTTTCCGGCCGAAAATTTCTAATTGAGCCTCCAGGGGTAACTCATATATAGATCCATAGATACTACTAGTATGGGAATATACTAATATCAAGGAAGTTAAATACAATAAATGTTTAATTATTCAAAATCCATTGAGAATTACCGGTGAAGATTATAGAAATGAAGATAATAATCCTGTTTTTGGAAAAAGTTTTATTTTAGTACCCATATGTTCCCTTCACTCAAGTATAATCTATCCTGTATCTTATGTTGTGTTGAAGAGATCTAGTTTTTGATGAAAATTGCGTTTTCACGTATCTCCTGTATGAAACTGCTATAGGAAAGTTACCTCAAATTGAAAAAGTTGCACTCACTCCTTTGCAATGCCGCTGCGAATATTCATGGCGTTTATTACTTCCTGCCTAATGAAAAATCCAGAAACAGTTCCACTCAGCACTATCAACATGAACATTGCACCGCACGTCAACCACTTAAATTCATTCCCCCAGGTGAAAAGGACTTGATTCTTGAGTTGACTATCTTGAGCATGAATGCGATTGGCCATGTTAGGCTCCCATCCACGGGACACCATTGGTTTGTCTACCTCGCCGTCTCGGAGTTCGGTCCGTAATTGCGTCAGTAAATAAAGCCCGGTTTTGGAGCGGGCCGTGTATAGTTTGAGCGCAGTGCGAAGTCAACCAAGCCGTCTAACACACCTGCCTTGTTGCTTTCTATTCGTTTTCCGATTCCGATTCCGATAGGATTCTAGGTTCCGGAAGTCGTTTGAGGGCTGATTCGTACCGTATTTATAAATTTCTGGCGCGTCCGAGAGACTTAGCTTCCACACCTCCGTACAACTTAGTTGAATCAAACCTTAACTTAGTTATTTTGTTGTTTGACGCCAGCCAGACTTGGGGAGAACGATGCCGGATAACATCTTGTATATCAAGAGCGCGATGAGACCTCCTGAAAACAGTCCTCTCCTCATTTCAACTTTCTTTTTTTTTTCTCCTCCTCTCATGTAAAGCTTGAAATATACGCTTCATCTCCTCGCAGGAAACAATGTTTGTTGTCACCTCTCCCCTGGCCATATGCGTGGCCCTGCTCTTCCTCCTCAGGGCAGCCATTGCAGCACCTTCGAATAATGCCGAGCCCGGCCTTAAGGCGACTCCCGATTTACCACCTCCGGGCGCCAACAGACCAAACCTTGTGACATTCGACGTCCTCAGCCAAAGCTTCCCAGACCAGCCATTCCTCACCAACACCTTCCACGTCGAGCGCTCGGGTGGAAAGAACACTGTGATGTCTGCATTCACGGTCGGAGGCATAGCGCCAAATACGACGAACTGCACACTGTGGTGGAGGAAGCCGAGTTCCCGTGACCCATTCTATTTGGTCTCCGGTCAAAATCGCTCGGTAGATATCTGGACTACGAAGCCTTGGTTTACAGAAAAACCACGTACATACCCCACATGGCATAATCCGCCCAAGAAGAGGCAATTGTTAAAGCAACTTGAATTTCCTACTCGGGGGAAAAACAAAATCCTAATAGGATCGGTGCCGTGTCACCATACCCTGAGCTTTCTGGGAGCGTTGACCCTGGGTCAACCAGGAGACGCCCTAACATGGTGGCTCAACGAGCAGGGGATTCGCGGCTTTTATCTGGTAGCTAAATAGCTTCGTCCGAAGGCTCCTGTCTTGCATGACAAGGGTAAACTCGAGCGTGCGGTTTGAGGGGTCTAATCAATGTTTTCGCGCTCAACTGCGTTGTTCAGATGTTAGTCCTAGTTTCAATCCTTGGATAATTAGTGGTTGAAGGTGCAGAAATTTAGTTGATTCACGTTTATTCTTTACCTGTTGAACTCGTCTCGCCGGGTTCCTTAGTGGACCCCAGTACCTTGCGAAATATGACTCTGGGGGAAATCTTGTGGGAAGATGTCATGGGTAGGCAGGATTCTTTGCGCATGAATAGCAAGCAACCTTTACCTTACGAGCGGCAGGATGGTAGCAGCCTCATCAGAAACATTCAATGGAACACAAAAAATGGATGAGAGTCGAGCTAAAAGCAATATAAAATTGTTCTCAGTCGGAAAGTATAATTCGTTTGCTGATTCAAGAAAACAATATAACGCGTACCAGTAGCGAAACCATCAACGGAACAAACAAGGTAAACATGGAACATGCACAAAAACGAAAATGCGCGCATTTCACTGATAAGGAGATACATACAGACAAAAGCTCGAATGACAGAATTCATAAGGTGCCAATGACGTCGCTACAAAATTTGCTGGAGGAAACAAAGTATGGCTTGCTAGGCGATATATGCATTTTTGAAAAGACGCTGTGAAAAATGGCAGTATGGCATGGCGTGTAACTAGGACGTAGATCAAAAGATAGAAGCGTATGCATTAGAAGGAAACAAGGGCACGAAGAAAATATTTAATTCCAAAGAGTCTTGTTTGAATATTGCATGGCTGATTCGTAAAATTCACAAAATTCGCAAAATCCGAAACAACTTCAAAGGCCGGTAAAAAACTGACAAGCCCACTCAAGCTCCTGGTCACCGTATGCAAAGTCCCAACCCACAATTCTGTGATCCAAGCTAGCACATATAAGTTGACGGGCGTCAAACTGTAGTTTGAAAACTCTGGCAGTGGGATGAGCTGCGGGAAGAGTTAGTGGTCTATTAGCACCGTGTAGTGGGGGCTGAGCTTGGTTTTGAAGTGTTTGAGGAGGTTGCTGGTTTGTCCCATTCAGGGAAGGTGGTCCTGCATCGTTCGTTGTGCCTTGAGGGATCGTTGTATTGGCATTCGGCGGGTTTGACTGAATTGTTGAAGCAGATGAGTTTTGCTGGGAGGTTTGGGACATAGATGGTAACCCAATAAAACCTTGCGGTGCTTGGCTTGGGAGCAGAGGAATTGGCTGGCTGGTTGGGGCCCTGGTATCTGGAACCACATTCGCGCCGGCTGCTCTGACAGCTTCATCCTGGCGTAGTCTTTGTCCAATAACCCACTTTCCTTCGTGGTCTTTCTTCCATATGATGATACTTTCATCGTAAGAGCCAGAAACAATGCGTGCCCAGCAGCTTCCTCCACCACCAGGGGGGATTTTGGCTCCTAGAGCCATAATGTCATTGGGGTCTCTGGAACCTGACGTTCGTACCGGGCATGATCTTGGAGGCGCCGGACTGCTGAGCTCGATTCAGCGATGTCGCCACGGAGCCGAGCCTTCCAATATTGAGTGTCTACCGCCATAGCTTCAAGTCGCAATGTCTCGTCTGCCCCAGGTGGGTCACCAAAACCAGCCTGGACGGTTCGCACGAGTCCACGGTGCCCGTGCAAACACGCGACCTCAGCCGCCGAGGCATGATCGTATATACGAACGGTGTCATCATTGCTCCCGCTTACTATTCGCCGGCTATCAAACTGAACACACGCGATGCCTTTCTTGTGACCAATCAAAGTTTTCAGACAGGCACCATTGTGTATATCCCATACTTTGATTAAACGATCGCCGGAGGCAGAGACGATCTCATTTTCATTCATTTGAATCGCATTTACAGCCGCACCATGGCCGTCAAGGGTCATTAGTAGTGAGTAAGGTGGTAGTGTTTTGATCTGTCGATTTGCGATTTGGGCTTCCAGTGCGCTAGGAGATATCAGAGAGGTGTCAACGATATAGGATGGGTATTTGACACCAGTGCCATTAAAGAAAGAGGGGTAGTCTTTGTCCGTCGGACAAAGTTCATGACGGTTCCAAATTTTTATTAATTTGTCTTTCGAGCATGTCACCAGGTATCGTTTATCAAATCTCAAGTTCAGTACAGAATCCTGATGGGCATTTGTGAGCTCGTGGATCTTTTCACCCGTGGAAAATCGCCAAATTATCACGCTTCTATCGCTGCTTCCAGAGATGATTATATCTTCTTCTGGACTTGGATCGAATTGCAAACAGAGAACTGATTTGCTGTGCGCTACCAAGGGGTTCCCTCTTAGCCTCCTTGTTTCCAGATTCCAGACTCTTACTGTTCTGTCGCGGCTCCCACTGACAAGCCACTTTCCGGAGAATTGAATAGTATATACACATTCCGTATGCGCCTCTGAGGGATATGCTGGATGAGGAAGTTGGAAATTAACGAAGTGGCCTTTCCGCCAGTTATCTTCTAGTTTCCGCCTTTGTCTATAGAGATATGGCCAATTCAACCGGCATGTACCATTAGCCGTCCTCATGAGATGTGGCGGCCTCACTTGAGGGGTATAATTGGTCAGCGGCGAGTAAAATGACATATGCCTCGCGAACCCATCAGCTCGACTCGATTTTCGGCTGTGCAGTGGGCTGAAAACTTCTAATGGTTGGCGAGGGCGGTTTTGGTCTTGTGATAACCCTACTGAGTAATCATCATAACTGGCATCACGCATCTCGTGGTCACCCTCGGCATCAGGTAAGGTATTAATCTCGGAGGCAGAAGCGCCGTCAGCCTCAACTGTCTCGTGCTGCTCATTCCAAGGAGGGCTTGCAGCTTGTATATTATTATTGTCAGCGCGAGAGTCTCTCCTCGAATGGATCCAGCCTGAGGGGACACGCTTTTTTAGCTTTGGCTGCCCTATATCTGCATCCGAGTGTCTTGTTCTCGATTTTCGGTTGAGTGAGAAGTGCGGTTTTGAGTGAGATTGTTCGAAAGATCGAACAGCGTCCATGTCGAAACGCCATCCTTCTTGAATATAGAGATGCCTCCACAGTCGCGAATCTATGATCCTCGCTCTCCAAGCCCTAGACGCAAGTGCTGCGGTGAGCAGTGTAGGGGTATCAAGGTATGAGAATATTTCCGAAGTGATTTCCGGGGGAAGTTTGAGAACAGGATCCATATGGAGCAAAGGAGTTAGCCGATCAACGACTGAGGAAACTGTCGATGTACTTAAGGTTCTCAATATACTATAAGCCAATTCTGCGACGACAAGGTTACCATCTGTTTTTCTCTACCATAAGGGTCGAAAGAGAAGGGTAAAATGTTACCTGCTCTGTCCGTTTCATTGTGTGCAAGAATCCAGCTGGGTAGACCTACACCTTCGTCTGAGGTTTGAATCACTTCATTTTCTGCTTGGCTTCTGGTTTCATCAGAGTAACCTTCATCCAACTTGAACGATGCGAGCGCAGATGGAGGGGCAAACTCTCCGCGGTATTTACCGGCCTGTGGTTTTGGTGTACGTGTGGCGCCCGCTGCTGCTGTGGAGTCGCGTTCCATGAGAATGTCGCTCTAAAGCTATTGTTGAGGTTTGGTGAAGTGTGAGAGGTGTGGAAGTTTGATAAATTTATGCAACGAATGATGAAGCAGCCTAGTCCCAGGTAGGAAGCTATTACATCCTTGGTCGTTTCTTGAGGCAAAAATATCCCGAAACGATCCTGTAAAGAAGAGAAGAAAGCAAGCGGAACAGTGCATTAATTATCAGTATTCCGAGTGTCTTGTTTAGAGTTCCCGCCAAGCGTCAAACAAAGAAAGGCTGTGCGAGAACACATACAAAGGACAATGGGATTATGTTGGGAGGGTGTCGAAGAGTGTCGAGCACAGTCAGTTGTTAAATAAATCTCCGATTGCTGGAATGATTCGCCATATCCTACCATGACCCGAAACTCGTCGAAGCAGGAAATGTCCGCCGCCCTTTCTTCTTCGCGATGTTCCGGGTTGTGGAGGTGAGGCAGAGACGTTGTGTCGCACGGCCAAATATTATTCCGGGAGCCTGTGTGGCAGCTGAGTCATCATGCCAGATCGATAGTTAGTTAACTAACTACTATTAGTTAGTTGGCCCTAGTATTGCCGAGAATGAAGGGGCGCTAAACCCAAAATGTGCATTTTGGGCAGTTAGTCATCCACTCAGCCGCCATGTCTAATAACGGCTAGCCCGCCGAGGACTCTCTGCACGAGCCGACAACGACGATCTCCAAAGCGTAACTCCTGAAACACCACTACACAATCCAACCACCCTCCAACTACCTTTGGCGCCTGTGCTGCTGCGTATACCGCCCATGCCTATATCCTTTCGTTTCTTCTGATAAGCATTTGTTCTTTTACTCTGCCAGATCAGACATCCTGTTTACCTGTGGTATTTCCAGGTAAGCTACGAAGTACTGTTGAGCACGTACCCCTCGCTTCACAATTCCCGCTGATATCTCCTATCTAGTCTTTATATTGCGACATAATGCTAAAATACTGACAAGCTTCTCAGAAAGCAGCGTCACTTGGACCATCCTTTTTCGGTTGCCTTCTTACCGCTTTCCCTGATATTTATTTTGATTGTTATCTCCTATCCAGACACGATCTCTACTGGTTCTCTCTTGGCCTACATTTCACTTAAGTTTTCGAGAGTTCATCCGAACTACGTGGAGTTTCCTACCTTCAAACTTACCTTTACGTTGCTTCCATCATATTGTGAATAGCCCATTTGCTCGGCGACTCATGGTCTCAGTTCCTGGAAAGGACCAGGCAGACTGGCCAGAACGATATAACTGAATTCGATTCCGATTAGAAACAGCCGCCCATCTATTTCCCATAGCCTGAAAATATGGACCCCATAACTGCGAACTGTGGCCCTGTCATGGCCGAGGATAATATTATCAATCGGAGAGGGGGTGAATCGCTATTCCAAAGCTGTGCGAGCCTCAAAAAGAGACTCTCGGAAGTCCCTGGTTTCGAGGCCCATCTCGCAGAAATGGAAGAGATGGACAGAACTGAGGATGCGATAGACCCTGTTGCATCTGTGTGGAGATGCTTGAGGCAAGGATACCCGCTGATGGCTATCTTCAACGCTTCTAACCCTGCAGAACCCCTTACTATCGACACTGATAAAGTACCTGAGGCCAGGCGACCGAAAGCGGCCACTTTCAAGTTTCTGCAAGCTTGCCTACAAGATTTAGAGTTTCCACAACAAGATTGCTTCCTTATCACTGATCTTTATGGAGAAAGCACCACTGGCTTTGTGAAGGTGGATATTCCCTCGACTTAGCGCAAGTGTCGTTCGCTTTGGATTGTAATGCTAATTTGGGTTTAAAGGTCATCAAAATGGTCAGTCGAGTCCTAGACATTCTCGAAATGCGGGGACTGCTTTACCAGCCCTCTATTGCGAGTGCTGGACCACGCCAAGGCGAAAAGGTCAAACTGACCCGGAAGGAGCATATTCTGAAAGAGTTGTTGGAAACCGAAAGAGACTACGTCCACCACTTACAGAATTTGCAAGCGCTGAAAAAGGAACTGGAAGAAACTGGGGCTTTAAATGGCGACTCAAGCCACCAGATCTTTTTAAACCTCAATAACCTGCTCGACTTCGCCCAACGATTCCTCATTAGAATGGAGCAACACAATGCCCTGCCGGAAGATATGCAAAACTGGGGTGACCTATTTATACAGCACCAGGAAGGATTTCGCCAGTATGAACCTTTCATTGCCAATCAACTCCGGTGTGATGCTGTATGCCAAAGGGAATGGGAAAAGATCAAGGCCGCTCCACGGTCTGCTGACTTCCAGCAAATGGTGGCACAGCCATCTACACTCAACGGATTTTTCGTTAAACCATTTCAGCGCTTGACAAAGTACCCCCTGATGCTCATGGTAAGACTAAATCGTGTTGTTCGTAACCCAATATTGCCAATTGTCACTAAAACCGTGTATAGGAACTTAAAAAACAAACCGATCGTGAAGACCTTGTAGCCGATGTTGCCACCGCTATCGACATGGTCCAAACGGTTTTAGACCAAGCTAATCATGCAGTTGATAAGGAGCACCTTGCCAACGCCGTTGAAGACCTCGCTTCCCGAGTTGATGATTGGAAAGCGCTTAAGGTTGAGGTATTCGGGGAACTACTACGATTTGGCACTTTCACTGTGTTGAAAGGCGATGGTGGCAGAGATACAGAAAGAGAGGTTCGTACATCTCTTACAGATTATACTGCTGAACTCCGGCCCGCTTCACATCGTCGGCTCTCTTTCCCTAGAGAACCAATGAAGATCCGAATGTGTCTGTCACATATCCCTCCATTGGCCCCTGATCAAACCCCCCAAAATATGTTATCTGGATTATGCCTTCCCTTTGGAACCACTTCCCTGGATCTGTCCCCTCATTGGTCTGAGTCTACGGCTCTCACGTGGAGACCAAAATTTCTGGCTGCCTCAATGAAACGGTTAAGCCTGCCAACTTTTGACAAATTTTCCTTGCCACTGCTGTCTCCTAGCTCTAGCTCTAGGAGACATGAGCCATTTACCTTACAATCCAACATTTCCATGGAATGCGTTTCCTATCTACCAGATGGCATTATTTGCGATGCACTTCAGTCTCCGTGCACCTCACCATCGCCTGATTCACGTTCACACAAATCAGAGAGTTAATATCGTAGCTATGGACCTTTACATACGTTGTCTCCTCAAGATATATTAATGATTTCCGACGAGAACGCGAAGTCAAACTTGGATGATCGCCTTTCTTCTTTGCAGAAGTTGAAAGAGCAGGACAGACATTCCCTTTTATGATATATTCCATCCTTTTACCCACAATCCATATGCGCTCTTCCTGAAGGCTTTTCATATAGCATGAGAGTGTGATACCAACTTGCCATAGATTAAAATCGCCAAGTTGGAACTCCTCTCTCATTGCACTTTTCTTCTACTTTATTCCCAATGTATATTTTGTCGTGGACTGTTCCTTGGGGCTAGTTCCATTCCATTGGGCCATTGGAAGGGACAATCGTCCCGCGTTTTTTTTTTTCACATCAAAATAAAGGGACTCGGATATACCATTTTGGCAGGAGTTATTGCTAACTTGTGACTTATTGTTTAAACCAGTACCACATCTATCTTTTCGAACGCATACTGCTTTGCTGCAAAGATGTGAATCCCAACAAGCAAAAGACGAAGCTGATGGGCAAAGACAAACCAAATGCTGCTCCAAAGGGAAAGCCACGACTTTCAAATTAAAAGGCAGAATTTACATGGCCAATGTTACGGAAGTCCTATCGGTGCAAAAACCAGGTTAGTTTGTTATTCGCATTGATATTATGAGCGTATTTTCCGGTATACATTGCTAATAGGACCAAACTTTAGGATCATACAAAATCCAAATTTTCTGGAAGGGTGATCCAGGCGTTGTTGACAACTTTTCCATTCGGTACCAAAACGAGGATACGATGCGTAAATGGTGCAAAGATATTGACACACAACGAGCCATTCAAAATGAAGAGCGGGCTACACGACACACAGGGACATCTGAAACGGAGTTCACCTACCTCAAGATGGGCCCTAAAATTCAGAATCCGTATCGGGAGGAGTACGAAGCAGAGGAGGAGCTGGTCCGGGAGAGTAATACATTTTCAGATTTTTCAGTATCACGGAATGCTTCAAGTACAAGTTTGCGGGCGCGATCTGCCACGGGAGGCAGTAGCAGTTCTGGTCCAATCTCAATCCGGCCTCCACGATTTCCCATGCCGGAACCACCACTTTCGGTTTCAACGCAATTTGCAAACGGGGCAATTTCTCCCGGAGATCGGAATGGAAATTCGTACTTTTCTCCAGTAACAGACACCACTTCCACGCGATCAAGTTCTCAGTCAACCATGTTTTCGTACTCCCGTCAAGGCACACCTTCAACGCCATGGACTGAGGACTCCAATCGGTACACTGCCCCTGCCATGCCAAGAGCCGCGTCAAGAGACGGGACTACATCGAACCCATATTTCAGCAACAATAATCCGCGAAGCGCCCAACGTCCTTCACTTCCCCCGCTCTCTTCGTCCCACCATAGCCAATCCAGCGGGATTTCCCAGGCCCGAATGCGGTCTGCAAGTAGCCCTGATATCCACCACAACTCCAATATACCCGAATCCCGCCGTCATGTTAATGGGCATTCTATGCAGACTGTTGATAACGTGCCTGTGCCCCCCATCCCTGCTCACATGGCTAGTATGATAGCACCTGTCAATCGCAGCCAAAACAATTCCCCAATAAACAACACTCTTCCTATTCGAGCTGCCACCCAGTCACCGGGAATGCAACAACGCCATGGACTACCATTAAATCATTTTCCTGAACCCCGCTCGCAGCCGCTGCCCACATCGAATCCAATGCACTCTGCCATTTCCTCTCCTGTGAATCATGGGGGTGAACAAGAACTTTATATGCCCAGCCAATTGAAAGCAAAAGTTAACTTTGATGACAATTATGTCACTCTGGTTATCGCAAGTAACATACTCTTCCGGTCCCTAATAGATCGCGTAGATGCAAAGCTTGCTCGATTCACCGATAGGTCGATTGGGAACAAATCCGTGAGACTGAGATATCGCGATGAGGACGGGGACTTTGTCACGATCGATAGCGATGAGGCCGTTCAACTTGCCTTTATGGAATGGCGCGACCAGCACAAAAACATGTTGGCCAATGGTCAAGTGGGAGAAATCCAACTCTTTTGCCAACCGGTCGAAAATTGAGATTGACTTACCGTATTGCATGGATTGGAAGCTTATTTCTTTTCATTTACCCGTTGAATTTTTTTTACTTTTTTTCATTGTTATTCCTCTTTTCGTTTTTATCGATCTAGGCACGCATCCCATGGCAGTTTTTGGCGTCGATAACATGCTTGCTTCCGATTGATATTTACCAGGATTGGCTTTAAGATTATCTTTCGTTGCTTGGTTGTCGATTTTCAATACTTGATTCCCCGTTCCGTACCTCTCCCATTTCCGTGGACGCAGCGACGTCCTGCACGACAGTCAGACGCCGACCGATCCACACGCCTGCACTCGGCGGAACTTCTTTTAAATACGTTTATGCTTCATCTTTTGCTTCAGTCTTCAGCGGAATAACATTGAGGAGAAAGAAACGGAACCGGCTGACGAAAATCAAAATATGCCGGTATCCTTTTACCCTAAGGATGCTCATGTTAGTCGCCGATGCGCTGCAACTTCTCCCCGCCCCAACAACGTTTTCCTTCTTCCCGATATCACCGGTCCATTGCTCCCCATTATCACCACTTGGAAGAGACGATGGAAGGAGTCTGGTTTGGATTCGACCTTTCCATTAAAACATCTAAGAAATGACCCCGTATGATTGAACGTACCCTATGTAGATGTTGAATTTTACCTGTGTTGGTTTTCCACTTGACGACAAAGCGAGGTCTTCAAGACTGTTCTCGCTTCCGCCGGAGTCGAGCAAGCATAGCTTGCAATCTACTTTTTATAAATACAGTATATCTAACTATCTATATCTTGCTTCATATTTACTTTATCCATATCTCACATTTATTCTATTCCATGCTTTTTATTTTACTTCGCGCTTGGCTTCTTTGCTTTTCATTTTCTTTTCCCCTGTTACTTGATTTGGTTGGTGTTGGTGCTTTCGTGGAGTAGGTAGCCGATGTGGGACGCTGATGGCGCGCGGGGGGACAAACAGCATAGAGGCATGTATCATTTGTGCCGTCCCGTTTAGCCCTTTTTGTTAGACCCTCGAAATATCCGAAATTGCGCTACTAGTGCTATATAGTATGCAAACATACGGAGGTGATTGTACTTGTGGGCATTGCTTGTCGCAGTGATAACTACTAGATCAACAAACCGAACTTAAATCAACATCAGTCGGTTACTAGAGTAACTCCTATCATTCAATTCGTGTCGATGCATTCATGTCGCAACCAACATGCGCAGCTACGCAGTGGGCGTCTTGCGAATGGGCCCTTAGCCTCTGAGTTGTTCCACACCCAGTCATGTTGCAGAGCAGATGTTCACGCATTGATGAGTGGGATTTAAATTGATTGACCGTGCTGGAAGCGCTGCGGTCTTGGATGAACACGTCCTCAAGCTCGCTTTCGCTTTCTCACCAGAGTCACCACACCACCACCACCACCACCACCACCACCACCACCACTCGATAGAACATAGAGACAAGAACAGTTTCTGTATAGATTTTGCTTAATCCTAGAATATCCGTATCCCTTGAAGCCCCAAAAATGAGCTTCTCAGGCCGTCGCCTCTCCATCCTTAGCCCCTCGCACTCCCGCCGCTTCTCTGCCAGCAAAGAACTCTCACAGAACGGTTTGTTATATACCACCACCCTTGCAGCAAATTGAAAAATTTGAAAATAGAGCGTGTCGACTGGATATTGAAGTCGACAATATTTCTCAAATCTGTCGTCCTTAATTTGCTTACCACTTTCAAATTTATAACAAAACGTCGAATACAGAGAAGTCCTCCGAAACCCATCGCCAGTTCCGTGATGCGCACGAAGGCCATCGTCCTCACGCCGGGCTAGATGCTACACGCGCTTCAACCGGTGTCGTGTGGACCACCGAGAGGGCTGCTGAACACGGGTTCCTTGAAAACTCTTCGTTGTGGGCGAATCTAGGACAGGGTGCTCCTGAAGCTGATGATGATATCGCCGGCAGCTTCCCCCGCCCCACTTCGATCTCTATAACCTCCGCATCTCGTGAATACGGCCCTACTGCCGGTATCAAACCTCTCCGTGCTGCAGTGGCGAGACTGTACAATGAACATTATCGACAGGGGAAGCAGGGCTATACTTGGGAGAATGTGTGCATTGTCCCCGGCGGAAGAGCGGGGTTGATTCGAGTTGCCGCAATATTAGGAAATTCATACCTCTCGTTTCCAATCCCGGACTACTCAGCGTATTCGGAGATGCTGTCGTTGTTCAAAAACGTAAATGAAATCTCCTTTTATTTACCCTTCTATACCTTTTTCCGTTCAATGTCAAAGAAACACCCCCCTCAATCCATCAAATTGCAATTATGTGTGTTGATGTGTAGGGTGTGAAATAGTTTGCCGCGGTTCCAATGCCCCTATCCTACGCGGACGGATACCATATCCACAAGGATAAGATTGCAGAAGAAATCGCTCGAGGCACTTCGGTCATCTTGACGTCGAATCCCAGGAACCCAACAGGTCACGTCATCAATAACCCGGAGCTGGCCAAAATACAAGATATCTGCCGTGGAAGGGCAACGCTTATCCTAGACGAGTTCTACGCTGGATATAACTACAGCACCGGCTGTGATGGCTCGACTACTAGTGGAGCAATGAATGTCGAAGACGTCGAGACAGACGGTACGTTCGTATTAGATATAGTTTTACTATCTCCAAAAAATTCCGTCTTAATTGAACTAATCATCACCGAATAGACGTCCTCATCATCGATGGTCTGACCAAACGCTTCCGTCTTCCCGGTTGGCGAATCGCCTGGATCTTGGGACCCAAGGAATTTATCGACGCTCTTGCCTCCGCCGGCTCCTACCTGGATGGGGGCGCCAACGTCCCATTTCAAGAGGCGGCAATCCCGATGCTGGAGCCCTCTCTCGTTCGTAAGGAGATGCAAGCTCTGCAAATCCACTTCCGTGAGAAGCGGGATTATGTGCTAGGCCGGCTGGGGAAGATTGGATTTCAGATCAGAGACGTACCAGATGCGACATTCTATATCTGGCTAGACCTTACCGCGCTTGATCCCCCTCTCCCAGCTTCCGCGAACATCTCGGACGGTCTGAACTTTTTCAACGCTCTGCTGACGGAGAAGGTGATTGTTGTTCCTGGGATCTTTTTTGACTTGAATCCGGCGAAGAGACGGGATTTGTTCGACAGTCCCTGCCACCACTTTGTCAGGTTGAGTTATGGGCCGAACATGGATGTGTTGAAGCGAGGTTTGGATGGCATTGAGAGGGTCATTCGCCGAGCCCGGGGTGAGGTCATCGCCGACGATCTGGAGGACGAAGTCGCTGTTCAGGATTGAGATATTGCGCGTCTCCTCAGTGTAGAGTTTGCTCTTGCTATTTAGACGGGAAATCAAGTATGTTTTGATCTCGGTCCTATCCGGTTTAGGGGAATACTATTTACTAGTATTTATATTACACAAGCGTTTCGACAGCTATGGTGCCTCATAATTCTATTTAAATTAAATTTCTCTTTAATTACTAAAGAAAGAAAAAAAGAAATCTCACTAAAAATGCCTGGTGGGGAAGGGGTGCAGGGAGGGGGGGCAGACAAAAGGGGTGATATCACGGTCTAGTGCGGGTATTTAGTACTATAACGTCTGTCTCAGGAATGTAAGGTGACTGCACAACAAGCGTAGCATTCGCCATGCATAAACAGTTCACTGATCCCATCCCAATGTCTATATATCCGCTGCAGTCTGCCGTCAAAATATATCCGTTATATCATAGTTGAACACCCGGAAGTCAAACGTGTCACGTGAACCAACCTGGTATCATTTCCCGGGTCTTTACACACTCAAAGATTTGCGCAAATCCTGTCTTCATACCCATATATTGCCTGCTGTGAGGACGTGGGCGCCATGCTGAAGAATACACGATTATCCCGCGTCTTCTACACCACTTTTTTCACTGTTCTTGCCTTTATCTTTTTCATCCTCACGCTCCTGACTCCTGCTGATACCATCTACCAGTCCTCCAAGACCCGCCGCCTGGGTAATGTTTTCATTGTCAGTGGTGTTTATATCATAACTCTGCTTTTAGCAATATTGATCTATGCGAGCCGCATTTTCACGAACCGCAGCGTTCTTGCCGGTATTCCCAAACCATGGATTCCAGTGGAGAAGCCTGACGTTCCAAAGAGCGTTCGAAGACTCGTTGTCAAGGGCCTTTCGAGGAGTGCTATCATTGCTCAGCAATCACGCCCACGAGATAGGACGGGGGAGGACAATAGCATGCTGGATCCTAGCTTGACCATTGCTACCACAGGACCACCACCATGGGGCCATATCTCTCACCCTGGCTGGACCGCCCCTGATTGTCCAGATATGCATAACCAAGAATTCGAGCCAGTTATTAAGGAGCTTCCACATCTCATTGAGGCAAAAGCTGTATCCTTTGCCCCCATGGATCCTCGCCTTCCGATGTTTGGCAACCAGGACCCGGATGAGGCCAGCGAAACAAACCAGCCAATTCCAGATGAGCGGATTGTCGAAATCCTCCGACGGCCTGGCAACATGTCTCTACGCGACTACGTGAACCATCTGATACGTCTCAATGTCATCAACCCTCCAGACCTTGGTCGGTCATTTGTCCGCCTCTACGAACGCGGCAGATTCGCCGACGTGCCATTGACCGAGCCGGAATTCAGATCACTGCTGGGCATGTTCGCTGAGCTCCTGCGGGGTATGTCGGAACTGGATCCCGAAATCACTGCAGAAGTCCAGTCGGAAAGCTCTGTCGACAGCGGTATGGGGCATTTTAGTAACACGTCCAGTCACGTACACCTTAACACCAACATTCCCTCAAACTCCAGCGCGTCGTTCACGTCGAGTCGTCAATCAGGCACTGGCAGTCAGCGGAGCCAGCGCAGCCGCTTCCACCCTTCCACATTTCCGAGAAATGGTTCTTTCATCCTCGATAGGTCTAGTGGCCGACAAAGCTTGCGTGCTCGCGGCAGTCGAACGCCATCTGCCTATTCCTTGCCAACTATGGCATCGGGCATTTCTGCCGCAAGTTCGGCAGGGAGTGTCATTCACCGCACGCAATCGCAGATGTCTTAATTAACTGATTTCTGCTAATTCGAGCGTAATCGAGGGATTGGCAAGCAGGGACCAAGCAGCAGCAATTCTTATACCGTTACTTTCTCGCTTCATTCATCCTCTTTTCTTCCCATTTCTATGGGATATACTTTTTAAATGTTTCTATGTTTCCTTTATCTCTCCAATTCTAAACCGGGAGAGGCGTTCTGGTGAAAGAAGCACGTAATGCTACGGAGGGGGTTTTTTTTTTATTATTTGGTGTTACTCGCCCAAGTTGCAACGGCGTCCGTTCTTTGATTGCTTTTGATTCCCTCTATTCTATTTCTTTTCTATATACCCTGGGATTCGTGGTTGGAACGTCTCGCGATGATATTGTCTTCTCTCTCCTTTTTCATGCCGTACGGTCCAAGTGCTGGTTTTTGAGTAGATGTTTCATGGTTGGGCAATACTGATTAGGACTTCACACTTTCGTTAAAAGAGAATACCATCTGGCTTCTTGTTCCAATCTCCGAGGTAGATGGCAAGATTATCGCCTCGTCATATGCATCAGTTATGCAAGTCAGGAGACCGTCAATCAGTTTAGCATGGAGAGTTTGTGATAATCGTTAAAGAAGAGTCTCTAAAAAGCTTTTTGAGAGATTTCATAGTTCATTGTACCGTTTCTTTGGCCTCATCCACTCATACAAAAACACAGTGTATCCATGAACATCACTACTCCTTTGCCTTAGTCCAAACGATCACGATAATCTGGTCTCCACTTCTTTCCCACATAGCCACTTCTCTAAATTCTCCGCCTGTTCCTCATACCATCGATGCATAACCCCTTCCTCCACATAGCCCATATGCGGTGAAAGTAAAACCTCACTACGCCCCTCCACCCCCCATCTCGTTGTTCTCCACGGACTATCAGGAGGCAAAGGTTCCAGATCGAAAACGTCCAACGCAGCACCCCTTATCTTTCCCTCCTCCAACGTCTTCAGCAACGATTTCTCATCAATCAACGGACCCCGCGACGTATTCACGAGCAGAGCCGTAGGCTTCATAACACCCAACTCCTCCGCCCCAACGATCCCTACACTCCTTTCGGACAGAACATAATGCACACTCAGCACATCCGCCTCCCGAAACAACGCCAGCTTGTTCGGAGCAACCTCAAAGGTGCCTGCCGGCAACCCCAACCCAGCCGCCTTCTCATCCGCTGCGTCCTGCGTCAGGTTGCTCGACCACGCAACGACCCGCATCCCGAATGCCAAGGCCCCGCTCTTGGCAGTTGCCGCTCCCAGCGCCCCGAGCCCCAGGACCCCGAGCGTCTTCCCCGCCAACCCCGTCGCAAAGCTGCCCTGCCACCGACCGTTCTTCACTGCCGCATCATCCCGCGCGATGTTCCGCGCCAGCCCCAGGATCAGCGCCCAGGTATGTTCCGTCGTTGAGTGGGCGTATGGCATGGGGACACACTCATTGTGCGAACCGGCTCCGACACCCGTGGTTCCCGTCACCAGAATCCCGCGCTCCGCGCATGCCCGCAGGTCTATGGAGCGGTTGCGGTGGCCGGTTGTGAGAAGGTATTTGAGATTGGGCAGGGAGGAGATGAGCTCTGCGGGGAACGGCGTACGTTCGCGCATTGTGGAGATTATCTGATATGGCTGTAGCCGGCTGATGAGAGCTGCTTTGTCGGCTTCATTGCGCGTTAGATGCAGCGTCTCTGCGAATGAGGTTATGGTTGTGAGATGGGGTTTCAGGTGGGAGAATTTTGCGGGAGCGATGCACTGGTAGTCATCGAGGATGGCGAGGTTGAGTGGGCCATTTGGTTGCATGATCGGTTCTGTCTTGATATGAGAAAATTGCGCGACTGATGTGGAAAGGATGAGGTGGGGTTTGACATTTATGGCTCAGTTGATTCTGCTGGCTATATTGATCGGGGATAGTCTTGATATCTCCAATCCGCACTTAGTGGGGCCAATAACTTAAGAGTTTGTCCACATTTATGGAAACACGAATATGAATACTTCTTGAGTTGGAACACTGGACTTTTTATTGACTTCGAAATCTGAATTTTATAAAAAATCTTCTAAAATATATGATAGATTGCCTAGCCAAGATACTGATTGACTAACTAGCGGGTATATCTTCCATATGTATGTAGGATTCTCTCTACTTTGAATCTAAATTAAAATGCCCGAGAATATCGTAAATAAATAGCACCAATGATCTAAAATCGATAAAAGAACCCAAAAGATTAAAACTCAAACAATGAGCCCATTCGATCACCGGGCTCACCAGCTCACCAGACCCTTCTCTCGGTCAAATCCACCCCTGAGCTGACTCTCGGGCTTGACAACCTTCCCCTGCAGCACCGTAAATTTAACAATGCCCTCGCAATCCTCGGGTTTCACCCTAGCAAGCCAAATCCCCTGCACAGCCCCTTCTTCAAGTGCCACATTACCCGCTTCCGTAGCGGCGCCTTCAGGGTTCAGATTCCGTCTCCGGTACACAATCACATTCGCAGAGTATTTGTGGCCGCCAACATGGCTGATGAAATATATACCTACCCCCCCAGGACGTTCGTCGTTGAGATCCCGATATAATCCAAGGGGGCGCAAGTGTCTTTCGAATTCCCGCCGGAGCAAGGGAGCCGATTGGCCGCACCGGATGTCGCGAGTCCGTTGCGAGCAGAGGAGAATTACGGCAGAGTGCCGACAAGGGCGGGAGTGAAGAGTGGTTAGAGCTGTGTAGTCCATCGAGGAGCTGGTGGCGGTCGTCTGGGATAAAGAAGGTGCGGCTGGAGTTGAATTGTCTGACTCTGACTCTGGCCCTGCCTCTGCCTCTGGCTCTGGCTCTAGTGTGGTTGTAGCTAAGATTTTGTCCAGGCGTGAGTTGTTGAGAGGGGAACTGGTGGTCAGAGAGGTGTTGACAAAATAAGTGATCAGATCTGAGGCGAGGGCAGGAGTGACGTGATCGACAAATGTGAAAGCCGGGAGAATGAGGGCAGTAGTGGGTCGTTTTCCAATGTCGTGATGGTGGTATTCGTCTGGGACGGGCATGTTTGAGGCAGACAGCTTCAACGGCTATATATATATATATATATATATGTGATCCACAACAAGAGTCAACAGATTCAACAATTAACCGAGAAATAAAAGCAGAAGAAGAAAAAGGAATACGGTGCGTACCCCATTGCTGGGTTTCAGGCCATTCTTCTCAATAGCTTCCATGACACTTCCCTCCTCGTCGGCCACGTCCCTCACCCAATCCGTCTTTCCCGTCGCAATGAGTACATGGGTGGCCCATCCTTTGACATTCCCGTACAATTTATCCTTGGTATCAATGTCAAACTTGGACGGGTATTGGATTGTGCAGCTAGCACAGTCATGGTCGCAATCTTCCCCGTCAATGGCTGGGTCGACCTTGGTAAAGAGAGTCCCCTCCGCGGCTGCCTGTGGTGTCCTTGGATTGAGAAAGGAAGCCCCACGGCGAAACAGAGATTTCATCGTGTCAACCGTGGTACTCCAGCAACCTAATAATCCCCTCCTTAACCAGATGGATATCTGTATTGGTGGCAGAATGTTGAATTGCTATTCCACGACTGATGCGAGGAGGAACAGTGCGATGGAAGATCGAGTTTATCAGATCATCAGATCGATAATTATCTCGTAAGCCTACGCTTATCTGATGGAGCGGATTTGTCAGCCCGGATATCAAACACTTCCAGAAAGGGCTAAAGCGCCTGCAGGCCAATCCCTGCCCTGGTTGACGATTGATGTCATAGTGATCTCATGAGCGGCTGCTTGACCAAATTTTCCAGCGCAAGAAAATAATAAAGAAAGAAAGAAAGAAAGAAAGAAAGAAAGAAATACTATATAATTAAAACGACATATTTTTGCTGGCATCCGCTATCTAGTCTAGGTTTATTTACAGTTCGTTCCTCCTGCGCTCTATCGCTGGCCCAGACTTCCTCCCCGTATTTTCGCATCCGTATACTCTGTATTTATTCTCCGTACGAGGGTCCTTACCGTAGTATTTATATTTCGCCTCCGCCTTTTGAAGAAGAAGAA